TGCTTCCACCAAGGGAAGATTATCCCGATCTCGGTGATGGTGGTACTGTTCGGGCTCCTAGGCAGCCAGAGAACTTAACCACCAACACCAAAATCTAGGATCATCCTCCCCCGGCGGACGCACCCCCCCGTGTTTTGGTGATGGCGCTTATTTCCAAGCAGCCGAGGCCGAAGTGTTTTCCTACCGTTTTCGGCCTGTGGGCGTGCCCTCGCTGGGTCGGCTGGGACCGTCCAAGGATCAAGCAGTGGCGAAGCGTCCTGGCTCGCCTATAGCCCCACCAGAAAATGTTATGAGAACCTTTTTTGGTTTCCACGAAAGGTGCTTACACCTTTTCTGGCTGAGACTGTCTTGTTTTACCACAGCGAGTTTATGTTCTAAGAACATTGTTTTTGTTCTTAGAACATTTTTGGGTTCTAAGAACATTTCGTGGTATGACTATAGGAATGCCGGGACGGTCGGTCCCTGCTCAGAAGGAACGCCTCGGGGTGGACAGACCGGTCTCGGGGGAGCGGGTCGACGTCGGGACAAAGACCATGACTCAGGCGATCGCAAGCATGGATCAAGGGGGCGTGGACGAGCGACGGGTCCCCATTCCAGGGGGGATCGCGGATGTCCGCCGCCGAGCGAGGCGGCACCAGCTGCATTTTGAGGAGGGCATCTCCCCCGATCCATGGATTTGGCGACCGCGCGCCAAATCCATGGATCGCGAATCCATGGTTGCGCGCCCCAGAGCTGTGGCAAAAGCAATGGCGTCGGGGGTCTGGGAAGGGGCACAAGATGCGTCTGCTGGGCCCTGCAGGAGCCCGAAAGGGGCCCCGAGGGGCCCACAGGGGAGCACGAAGAGTGTGTGCGCGTGAGTCGGGCATGTTCCTCTACAGGAGGAACATTCAAGAATAGTTGAAACATAGTCAGGGCTGTTCTTTGTCCTATGTTGTGGCATTTTGGGGGTATTACTCATTTGTCGTTCAACATCCGCCTGTAGGGGTGACATGCCCGACCTAAGTGTACGGTTCTTCCGCCCCCCCCCACACCACGTATCTCAAGGGAGGAAAAGCCATCCAGACCCGACAATTGACGTTTGCTAGACGGCCCTGGGCGTTTACCAACCAGCTTTGCCCTGTCCGATTCCTTCCTTGGGTGCGGTTGCGAAACGGCTTCGCTTGTCGGGCTGATTATCCTCGGTGTGGATTTTCTGCTCTCTAGCATCGCCCCCCCTTCAAGCAACGCCCAACGGGATGGCGCGGCCGCCGCGCGGGATGTGAAGGAGGCGGGGCGCGTTAGAGGAGGAGGTATTGATACCGCTGCCTTCCGACGCACTTTCCGATTCGATTCGTTCTCCCGATTCGATCTTGACCGATCCTCGGGCCAAGGAACCCAGACCTTACGGGAGGAACAGGTACTGATACCGCTGCGCTCGCCTTGTTCTCGTCTTCGTGGGCCCTCTGTCGCCACCGCCAGATTCGCTTGCAGAATTGTGGTCAGAACGCACCCCAGGAGATATCTGGGGAGTAGCGGTATCGGTACCTCGTGGTTCCCCCCAGACCTCGCTGCGCTGTGACAGAAATCACGACGGAGGGCAGGGCTGGACCGAAAGGCTGTGTTGCTGGATTTCGGCTGTATGTTGTTTTTCGTTTTGGCAGGGAGGTACAGGAAGACAGGTATAGCAAAACGGAAAACAAAACAAAAAACAACGCTTAGGTCCAGCCCTGACGGAGGGTGCTGGGCCATGTTCGTCCTTTCTGGGCCGTCGCCAAGCCCGGAGGCCGTCGAAGACGGCTCGGTATGAAAGGCTGGTGCCCGGGAAGGGGTTCAGTCGTCTCGGGGCCCACGCCGTGAACGAAACCATGACGCTGAGGGTGATGATCGTTTTCTTATTCATTGTTTTGCCGATCGGCGCGGGCCTTCGCACCCCCCCTCGTGGAGTAGATCTTGGCTGCTGTTTCTGGCGCCCGTTTCGAGCAGGTGGGGTCTCCCCCATGGGACGCACTGTTGCAAGCAGTGGCATTAAGCAGAGGTCCGGAGCCAGACCCTCCCCCCCCTTCCGCCCAATGTCGAAACGCCGAGTAAGAAGACGCTCACGTTTGGGATGGAGGCGGAGCGAAGAAGGCGGGGTGTGAGGGAGGCCGCCCTAGAATTGAATCAAACTCTGGCGCAGAGTGCGACGCCCCCACTCCTGCAATCTAGCACTCGAAGGAAGAATTTCGATGACCGATCAAGATGTGGCTGGATCTTGTCGACGTGGATGTCGGTCGTGGTCCATGCCAGCCGTCGCTGATACTCGGGGATGATCCACGAATTGACGATGACCAAGATGGACGATATCCAAGATCGACACCTACCTCTGCGTTCAGTATTGTGAAGACCTTACGGCCGACGCCGCCGCCCCTGAAAGAAGACACGCATGCTGAAGGCGACAGCCGAAGGTGCTCGAGAAGGTTGGGACCAGACGCCCCGAAAAGTTCCATTGAAGCCTCTCAAGTTCCCCAATAAGCGCATGACGAGAAGCACAGTTTGACCAAGCTATCTGCAAATGTGTTCTGGCAGCTTGTGTGGGAGGAAGAGGGGGGAACCAGGAGAGGAAAGAGGAGGAGCCGGAGGAGGAGGAGGAGGAGGAGGAGGAGGAGGAGGGGGAGGAGCAGGAGGAGGATGAGAGGAAAAGGATAACGAGGAGGACAACAAGGAGGATGCGGAGGAGGAAACCTTTTGAGAGCCCCTTCGGGGCTCCAGGAGCCTCCTCAGGCTTCGTGGCGGCCTCTTGTCGCCATCCGGGACCGTCTTGGAGGCATTTTGAGGCAATGTTAGGTGAGACGGGGTAATCTTCGCCATGTTTGCAAGCATTTTGGATCGTCTCGGCGGCGACACAGCGTGGGAGGCGAGCTTGGTCGTCTCTTGGAGAATTCTGTGGGGGCCTTTTGGGGGACTCCCTTGGGGCGCTCGGGTGATTTCGGGCCTCTCTTGGCTTCTCTCTCGGTCCACGGCCCATCCCGCCACTGTGCCTTGGTATGATACTGCTTGGGATCTTCTGGGAAACCTCTTCGATCAGTATCGTTTAACCAATCCTCATCCCCATCCCCATCCCCATCCCCTTCGAGAACCCTACCAAATCACCACCCCAGTTGGGGATACACCCCTCGAAACCCGAAGGGAACGGCCTACATCCCCATGTAAAGAAGTGAATCGGCCAGTGGGGCCCAGGCCACGCCGCTGGGGATGGGGATCGGTTCAACGATATTCATTCGAGCGTTCTCTGGACTCTCTTGGAGGCTTCTTCCACGCCGCTGGGGATGGGGATCGATTCAACGATGCTCATTCGAGCGATCTCCGGACTCTCTTGGAGGTTTTCTGAGAGTCCTAGGAGACTCGAAGAGGGGCCCCAAAGGGCACGGAGAGGCTCTCAAGGGTGTACGAGGGCCCCACGAGGGCTCCCGAGACAGCCTCGGATTTCTGTGGCGGCTCTCTCGGGGCGCTCGGGCGACTTCAGGCCTGCGGCCTGGGTAGTGGGTCAGAATCTTCATGGATGCTTCTTGGGATCTATTCGGAGGGCTGTCGGGGGCCTCAGGGGGCCGTTGGGAGGCCGCTCGGAAGCCTCCAGGATTGCCTCTTGGGAGCTTCTTCGGGCCTCCTGGGGGCCTCTTTGGGGCCTCTTGAGGCTTCCTAGGGGCCTCTTGAGGCTTGGTGAGGGCCTCTTGGGAGCGTCTTGGGGCCGGCGGTGAGCTAGAAATGTCAGTCCGTATTCGCCCTCTGGGGCCCTTTTTGGGCTTTCTTGTGCTGTCTTGGAGGTCTCCTGGGCTGTCTCGGCGCCTTCTGATTGGCCTCACAGGCCGCCTTGGAGCGATCTTGAGGGCCTCTTGGGTCGTCTTGGAGCGTTGGGAAGCCAAAGGGGCAGACACGCGAACGTACAGTAAAATCCAGCGGGCGCACAATACATGCTGCCTCGTGGGGCCCTCCTAGGAGTGCTCTTGGGGCGCCTTGGGGCGTCTTGAAGGCGTCTTAGGTCATCTGGAGGTCATCTTGGGGACCATCTTGGGTGTCTTGGAGCAAGCGCCTTTTGGAGCATCTTAGACCCGATTTGCCAAAGGAGAGCCGACAAGGGAAAGGGGAACCGTGTTCTAACCCGGGCCCTCGAGTGTATATCTCTCGATATCTCCCTCTCTGTATATATCTCTCTCTCTCTCTCTTTCCTTTTTTTTTGTTTTGTTTTTCTCTCTCTCTCTCTCTTTCTCTTTCTCTTTCTCCATATAAATGCACGATTACGTTGGCGCCTCCAGCATCGGGAGGCGCCGGGAAAAGCAGGAACCTGAGCCGATTCACCACCCACTTGTTTCTAACCCCCCCCCGCCCAATTAGTGTTTTGCGCGGCCCGCCTAGCTCTCAACCATCAGAGGCTCGCTCTCGACCCGCAGACCAAACAGTTTCTAACCCCCCCGTCCGTCCGACGCCGAGGCGGGCGCCGCGGAGCAACAGAAGTCAGGGCGGGGTGCTGCTCGCCGTGCTCGGGATCGGGATCGGCCCTCGCCAGGCTCCTGGGCCAACAGCTGCACAGGAGGAGGAGGAGGAGGAGAAAGAGGAGGAGGAGGAGGAGGAGGAGGAGGAGGAGGAGGAGGAGGTCCGTTGCCATTTTGGCTCAAGTGGGAACAGGTCCCATCTGAGCGGGCAGCTCTCTTTCGAGCAATCCAGTGTGTCGTGCACTGGCGGACACCCAGTACCTCTCTTTTGTCCCATTCTGTCAGCTACCTGTGTAGCTGAGGGTGCTTCACAATTCGTGTGCGAGCGACAGAATGCCTGAAGAGCGTGCTGAATCTATTTCGTCTTCTTCTTCTCCCTCCAAGGTCGCCCGCGGTGAGAATGGCCGACGCCGACCTGGTGCTGCAGCAGCGGATGGCGAAGAAGGCTTTCTCTCGGCCTCCGAGGATGACCTTCCCCGTGCGAATATGGTTTCGGCGGGCACTGGTGCTCCTGCTTCCCCTGCTCGTGGTGGCCCCGTCCTTCACGATCCAGAGGCATTGACATTCAAGTCCCACGTTGATGAGTCCCACAACAAAGTCATGGCAGCCATTGCAGCGGTCCAAGCCAATGTTCAAGTGCTGTCGAATGCGATGTCTACCCACGCCGAGGCAGTTGACAAGCAGGTGGAGCTACGCATGCGGAAGGCTGAGACCCAGATCAAAAATCATGAAGATCGCATCGGCTCACTTGAGAAGCAGATTCACTACCTTATGGAACAGCTACGCTGCGTCAAGTCTGAAGAGCCAGTGGCACCTGCTGCTCCTGCTGGATTCAACGGACCTCCGAATGCCACGATCCTGGTTGTACGTTCCAAAGAATTGGTTTCTGCCGAGGCCGTGCGTGCGGCTGTCGCGCCTTGGCTGGCGGACTCCAACCTGGACGTTGAAGACTGGGAGATCACTACTTCAGCCACGACACCGACGAGCAAGAGACACATCATTCAGATCACAGGCAGCGCGGCATGGGCAGCGAGATCAGTCCGACAGGCCCTCGGTACGCTCCGCAACAGAGACGGCAGCTGGAGGAAGTTTGTGGTCAAGACGCCGCTTGGCCAGGACACCGACATCTTTATCAGTGCTGCTAAGAACCAATTTTAAGTCCGACGCGAACTCGGATGCAAGCTCATCCGCAGGGAGTTCGAGACAGTGTACCCCGACAAGCGCTTCTTCGTGGACAGAGAGAGAGAGGCGAGATTTCCCTGGCGTGGAAAAGGCTCTTGCGCTACTCCCCGAACGCCGACGGCCCCCCGACGATCGAGTGGCACCTCCCGAACCTGCAGGCCCAGCAGATCGACAAGTCTCGCCTAGAGCACCGCGTGCTGGCGCTCTTCCAGGCGCAACGCGAAGATGAGGGCGGGTGGTCTCTTTAACACATTTCTGAGGCCCTGGAAGGCATCCAGCTCTGCCAGTGCCTGTCTCAGTTTTGTAAGCTGGAATGCGAACGCTCTCTTCCGCCATCACTACCCTACAAGATCTAAGAAGTTCAATTACCTCGCCTCCCTCATGTCTGTGAATAGTGTGGTGGCTGTTCAGGAGACTCATGGCTCGCCTGCAGAAGCTCGTAACTTGTTGCATTTCATTCACAAGCCGTACGAGTGCTACACTAGCTTTAAGATGATCCCAGGCCCGTCTGGGAATGAGATCGTCACCTCGATCCCCGACCCCTGTGCCGCTGGTGTCCTCACGCTGGTCCCGCACGTCTCGAACTCGGAGGTTGTCTTGGATGCGTTTCCTGAAGAGTTGGTCCCTGGCCGTGCACTATGCGTAATGATGGTTTTTGATCCAGGGGACCCTTGGATCGCCCACTACAACATCCACAAGTTTGGCCTTACTTCTGGGCAAGAGAAACACATAACCTCGCATATTGAACATAATCGTGCCATCGCTGCGGAAGACCCTCAGAACCGTCTCGTCGTTGTCGTGGGGGACTTCAATATCGCTGCCGCCCCCCCGATCCCCGTCGACCCTTCTCAGTTCCAGGACCCAGGTGTCGGCTGCCAGGACTGGCGGGGAACGCAGGACCCTGTCTGGCGTGCATGTTTTGCGTCGCTGGTGGAGATCCAGCAGCAGGATCCGACCCACGTCTATGCGCCGACCGATACCATGAACATCATAGATAGGGCTTTCACGTCTCTGCCTGCATGGGTGGTCCTACAGCTGAATATCTGCGGCCATACGTGCGGCCTTGAGGAGGTAGTTTACAAACGGCAGCTCTCTGATCACGCAGCCATCAAGATGGACTTCAGAGTCGCCCCCAAGAAGGACCCCAACTCCAGAGGTATCCCGAAGGACCTTTTCGAAACCGACACGTGCCAGAGATTCATGAAAAGCACACTTGGAGGTCAGTAGCCTGGAAGATCTTCCCCCACCCATCAGGCTGCTGTATTTTAAGTCGCTCATGAAGGAAGCTGCTCGTTTTGCCCGCAACTGTCTGCTCCAAGGCGCGCACGGTGCTCAAGACAGCAGTTCTCTCTTGGGCATAATTATTTTGTGCAGATCTATTGGCAGAGCTGTTTGGCGACAAGACTACCGCTTAGGCTCTCGCCTGATCAGCGCATACCCTCTGGCGGCGCGCTTCTTGGGCATCTGCTCGACTTCGAGGCGCCTTTGGCTCGCAGAGCTTGCTGCTTTTTCGGAGTTACTGGATCATCTGGAAGAACAATCGTACTTTGGAAAACTCAAGAGGCTCTCTCAGACGCTCTCGAGGACCCCCGACGGCTCGGAACGCAAAAGACCCAGACAAAGACTCCAGAGGCTTCAGAGACGATCTCGACTGTGGGCACCTTTTCGACAAGCGTTTGTACATCCGTGGCATCAGAAAAGACGACCAGGTAGTATCCGACCCCTCTGAGATGGCATCTGGCATCTCTGGTTACTGGCGAGACGTCTTTAGCGACAAGTCCACGCCGATTGCGCCTGCCCAAGCGTGCATTGAGCGGTTCACGTCGCACGTAGATCTCAGCCAGCTGCAGCCGCCGTCGCAGATGTTGATGGCCGCTGTACTGCGCCGTCTTTCTCATAGTGCCCCAGGCCCTGACTGCGTTCCTTACGCGGGTTGGCAGAAGACGCCACAAGCTCTGGAAGTCTTGACTGAGATGATGTTCTGGCTCCTGGACGGTGGATGGCCGCTTTCTGGCTTCAATGACCTCCTGGGCATTTTTATTCCCAAGGGCGAGGAGGAGGACGATTTTGCTGGAGGAGGTTGCATTCGCGAATGCAGTCAGCTTAGACCCCTGGGCCTGAAGAATACCGACAACAAAATCATCACCGCCACGTGCATGGTGTCGTTCTCCAGGGAATGGTCCAAGGTTGCCAACGGCCTTCAGAGAGGCTTTATCCAGGGGCGACAGCTCGGGACAAATATCATTGAGCTGGATGCTCACGCCCGTGCCTACTCGTCGCTCCCCAGTGCCGAATTAGATTCGCCTGCTCTTGTCGCATTCGACTTCGCGCAGGCGTTCCCCTCGGTCTCGCACAATTGGATGCGCCTCATGCTGCAAGCTATCCGCCTGCCTGAAGCTCTGGTCGATTTCCTGATGATTCTATACTCTGGGGTCAAATGTTTCTCGGAGTTTGGTGGTACCATGATATTTATGTTCCCGATCTGTTCTGGAATTATCCAGGGGCGCCCAGCCTCCGGTGCGATTTTCGCGGCATGTATGGAGCCATTTGTATGCGATTTCGACCAGGCGATTGTTTCAAAGTCCCGCGGCATCGTTCGCCTCTGCGCTGACGACATCGGCGCCGCCATTTTGAAGCTGCAGTTTATGACCCAGCTCTTCCGAATTTTCAGCGTCGCTGAGAAGATTGCGGCGCTCGTCCTCAAGACTTGCAAGTGCAATTTACTGATGTTGGCAGGCCCGTGCTCGGCAGCTCTTGCGTGCAAGTATACCCGACGTCTGAAAGCTCTGGCCCCCTCATGGTCCGCCTTCTAAATCGTCAGCGTCGTGAAATACCTGGGGATGTATATCGGCCCCGATGCAGAACCACAATGTTGGGCGTCGCCGCTTTTGAAATGGAGATCCCGTTCCTTTGAGCTCTCTGGAGTTGGTGCTGCATCAACTGTCTCCTCGAATGTGTACTCGTCGCGTGCAGCTTCAGTCCTCTCCTACGTGTCTCAGTTTCTGCCGACGCCGTCGGACTTGCCTCGTTTCGAGGCAGCGAGGCTGGCCCGTGTATTTCACATGCCGCACTGTGGCTTCGCACGCTCGACATGGTATAATTGGGGGGAGTGGGGCGGACCGAAAGTCAAGTCCTTGGAAATGGTATGTCTCGCATCTCGGGCGAGGGCAGCACCGACAACATTCGAGTGGCAAGCCAGTTTGAACTTTCTCTTCCGTGCTGCTCGGCAGCATGTTCCTATCGTTGAGTGGCAGAGGGGCAAGTACTCACCGACGTTTTGGAAGTCAAAAGCTTTATGCCAGCACTTCGCAGATGCGTGCCATGGCTTCCCTGAATCTACCCGACTGTCTCGCGCCCGTCCCATCGTTCTGAATATGCAGAGAATGCTCCGTGAACATGTTTCCCAAGGTCTGAGCCAGAAGTCGTTCAAAATGCAGAGACAACTTGTCCTAGAGCTGACGCCAGTCTTCTATCCTGAGCCCCCGTCAGTCTTGTTTAGGCGCCGTCTGCTCGATTGGTTCCCTGAAGAAAGGGGGCGCGCCCTTACCATCGACTGGGCCGCCGTGCGGCTTGCTCTTGTGTCCTTGCCTTGTTCTCTCGCCTCGGCCGCCGCGAGGGCGCTCTCCAAAAACTGGCTTACTCAGTGTAGGTTTCAACAGACGTCGAACGCTCACTGCGTGCTGGGACGCACGGAGTGCATGGCTGGTGCTGACAGTATTGAGCACTATTGGCAATGTGTCCTTTTCGGTTCCCTCCTTGTGTCGCTCGTCGGCCCCCTCCCCCCCCTCCCGCTCGATCGCCTCGGTGTTGTTGCTCCGTCGAGAGATCCGATGCTTGTGCCAGCTTGTGCCTATTTTCTGTTCAATGAAATTCGTGCGAAGTCCCAGCGAGTGCGTCGCTGCCATCAGCTGCGGCGGTGAGCAGCTGCTGCTCGCGGACCTGCCGAGGACCGCCCCCCTTTGGCCACGCGGCAGGAGGAGGAGGAGGAGGAGGAGGAGGAGGAGGAGGACCCCTGGGGGTCCATGCAAACGGGGGTCAGCCAGAGCGCCGGATCGCGCAGGATCCTGCAGGGGCAGGGTCGCATTGGCCCGGGCTTGCGTGCAGGATCCTGCAGGATCCTGCAGGATCGTTCGCGTGGACCCCGGGCTGGGGTGCAGGATATTGCAGGATGTTGCAGGATCCTGCAAGGCCTGGCTGACCCGGGTCTGGATTGACGCGGGTCAGAAGATCCCCGAGGATGGGTTACAGGATAGATGTACCCCGAAAGCGATGTTCTCGCCAAAGCAATGAGAAAGATATGTGGGATTAGGATGTCCCAACCCATTTGAGCCTTGGCTGCCAGAAAGAATTTCGAGCACCAAGAAAGTATCGAGACTGGAGGGTTTTCACGCGTCGGGCCCCGGGAGGCGATATTGGTTCGACACTTTGTCGATGCTTCTCTGGGAGCTCGAAGTTATATTTGGTACGATGGGAGCAACATAAACGTAGAACGTAGAAGAGAGAGTAGATCTACGGAGCATAGTAGGCATGTGTCGTAGATTCGACGGGGCATCTTTCTGTTGGGTAAGTCGGCTGTGCAGTCGTTCCCCGACAGCTTAGCTTTGTTGTGGCGTAGGTCGATTGTGCAGGCGTCTCCCCTGCTCGAGAGACGGACAGAGTCGAGGACCGAGTCTTGCGATGCTCCTGTGGCGCTGTCTGCGCCCCCCCCCCTTCCTGGGGCGCCATCGGGAAGCCGCGGCGAGAGCCAGCTCGAGATCCTGGCCAGAGTTCCCCCGAGGGCTGCCCCAGAGGCCGACCTGTGTCTCGGCGGCGAGCGAGGAGGAGGATGAGGAGGAGGAGGAGGAGGAGGAGGAGGAGGAGGAGGAGGAGGAGGAGGAGGAGGAGGAGGAGGAGGGGGAGGAGGGGGAGGAGGGAGGGGGAGGAGGAGGAGGAGGAGGAGGAGGAGGAGGAGGAGGAGGAGGAGGAGTGGGGTGAGTCGAAGAAATACAACAAAAATGGCATCAGCATAAACGTTGGCCGAACACGTGGATTTCCTGGGCCCGCGCTGGGACCCCCCGGCGCCGCCTCCAGCGCCGCCCAGGGAGGGGGGGTCCAACGCAGATCCAAAAAGGCCGCCCGGACCGTCGAAAGTGTGTGTGTTTGTGCCGTGTTGGTTTTTTTCTCGGGAGGTGAGAAGGAGAAGGCCCTCTCAGGAGTCGGCGGGGCTTCTCAGAAGCCCCTCGCGCCCTCTGAAAGCTTGTCTGTGCTT